TAAAAATGCCTGCTTTGTGTTTTTTTTTTATTTTATTATTTTTGTGTGCGTGTACCGTCAAATCAGATCTGACTGGTACAGGAGGAGATTGCCCCTCCTTACCCGGCAGAGCATCTGGTGGATTCGAACCGTGCACCTCTGGGATTGTAGTTGCAGCTTCTTGCCACTAGGCCACCAGAGCTCCCCTAAAATGCCTGCTTTGTATGCGGAGTTCTTTGCAATCTATACAAGGTCAAAGGGAGCTCTTGCGGTTTAGTGTAAGGAGCTGCACTGCAAACTCAAAGGCACGCAGTTCAAATCCACTTGGTGCTCCTTGGGAAGATGGGCAATCTTCTCCTGTGCGAGTTACTGTCTTGAGAACCCACTGGAAGATCAGCTATGAGTCTGTTTCAATTCACATAACATCATCATCATGTGGAGACAGAGAGCTCTGGTGGTCTAGAGGTAAGGAGATGTGCTGCCTTGTGTTGTACTGTATGGTGTCAAAGGCATACAAAATTATTTGTGAGACTGAAAAGCACAGAACATCCACACACGATCATGTGTCTGGGTGCCAGGCATCCACCCATCTGAGCACAGGGCACATCCCTCACCCCTCTATCCCCTGCCTGCTGGCTGCTGGAAGGAGGAACAGAACCAAACATGGTGATGGTGGTGGAGCTCAGTGCTCATAACAAGGTCTCTCCTCTCCCCAATACCGATGCTCAATTACGTTAAACCAAGAAAAACTATTTTTAGAATCTTTGCCTATGTTTTACTTATGTACCTATTTTGCAGTGTTTAATAGTACAATATTAGAAATGGCCTGGGCGAGCTCTGGTGGCCTAGTGGCAAGAAGCTGCACTGCAATCCCAGAGGTGTGTGGTTCAAATCCACCAGATGCTCTGCTGAAGAAGGAGGAATAATTGCCTCCTGTACCAGTCAGATCCGATTTGACGGTACACACATAAATAAATTTTTTAAAAAGTGTAAAAAAAAGTGGCCTTAATAGCCCCCCTATTTCTCTGTCCACATTGTACACGTTTTTAATACCAAAAAAAAAAAAAAAGCAAAGCACAGAACAGCAACATGGGGTCTAAACTGACAACAGCATCTGGGAAGAAGAGACAGAAAGCTTACGGAGTGGTTATTGAAATGAATCAGGGAAGGACTGTGCAGAAAAGGTCGCTGAGACTAGTCCAATAATTCAACGTAATGTAGTATCAAGAGTTCTTCATGTGACTGTCTACAGTGTCGCTGTGTATGGTCGAATCAGAACCCACTCATCGGTTTTTTGAGAGGGTGTTAATTACACAGAAAATGCCCATCTCCTGTAGAGCAGGACACACAACATTGCAACTAACTACAACACTGTGGGCTCGCTAAGCACTGAAACGGACTCGAAAGCACTTTAAGACATTTACTTATGTTGCAAATATTTTCAATACTAATATGTAAATAAGAAAGGCTTACGTTCAGTAAGCAGTGATTGCTTATTTTAAATTCAACTTTAACTGGATTCTGTTTACTTGCTAAAATATCTGGTAATCTCACCAAGCCCAGCAGGAACCCTCTAACCTCTCAAGCCCCGAGTCCCCATCCCGCCCGCTGTTTTCCCCACTGGGGTCTCGAAAAGCGGGGTCGCTTCCCAGGAAGTACTCCCCCCCCCCCCGCAAGTCGCCCGACACGAGCTTCTCGGGCCCCGGAAGTCCCGCCCCACGTACCCGCTCGTGCGCTCCTCAAGCCGCACGTCCTCCAGGAACTGATCTACCTCCAATCCCAATGGCTCCTGCGCAAGCCGCCGCCAGCCCCGTTTCTTATTCCGTGGGCCTCGCCGCCGCCGCCTCAGTCCAGGGTCCACCGAAGTAGCATTCAGACCCAGAAAGCCGGTATCGGCCGCGCTTTTCGTGCGCGGCCCGCGGCCGCCACCACTGCTTCCTGCCGCCATCTTGACAAAGACGCCAGTGCCTGGCGCTCCAACATCCGGTTTGGGGCGGGTGCGCGCGCAGATTCCCCACCCACTCCCATGACTCACTTCCGGTGATCGCCGTCGTTATAATGAGGTTGGCGCAGCTGGGCGTAACGTGAGGTTGTTATCTTGATAAATGGTTCCTCCCTCTTTTCAAATAAGTGCCACAAATCTGCACATTTCTGTCCCTTAATCGTTATTTAAGATGATCACGTTGTTGTTTTGTAGCGGATTGTCAGAGGCAGTTAATGATTCCCTATCAGTCTCAATCAGAAGAAATTGAGATTGTTCACAGCTTCAGTTTGCTCAGCTCCACGGTCAACACTCTTGGCACCAGCAGCCAGGAAATAAAAAAACGTATTGTGATGGGAAAGTCTGCTGTTAGGGACCTCTCCAAAGTACTGAAGAGCAACGGTGTCTCTCTGGAGACTAAGGTGCTCCTGATACAGGTCATGGTTTTTGCAATCACTTGTTATGCATCAGAGAGTTGGACAATGACTAGGGAGGATGAATTGACGCCTTTGAGCTGTGGTGCTGGAGAAAAGTATTGAGGGTACCATGGACTGCCAAGAAAACAAACAGATTCATCCTAGATAGTGTTAAACCAGGCTACTCCTTGGAGGCAAGGATTCTGGGGCTTCATCTGACATACTTTGGACATGTTGTAAGGAGAGACAGGTCCTTGGAGAAGGACATCATGCTTGGTAGGGTAGAGGGACAGCACAGGAGAGGAAGACCCTCTATGAGGTGGATTGATTCAGTGACTGGGGTAATCGGGATGGGTGTGTCAGGCAATGCGATTGGCACAGGATAGAGCATGGTTTAGGGCTGTTGTACGTAGGGTCGCTAAGAGTCGCAAAGGACTCGAGGGCACATAACAACAACAACAACAACATCAGTCTCCAGCAGAGCAGCTGGTGGACTCGAACTCTAAGCCTTTGGGATTGCAACGCAGCTTCTTACCACCAGGCCACTAGAGCTCTCTCAAGATGATCACTATTGCATTTAATTGCAATTTGAAAATTTATAGAGCAAATACATTTTCCCTTTAAACGTTATTTTGTTTCATGCCATCAATCACAATGCTCACATTCTTCTCACTTTCCTTCTAATTCCCTTTTCTCTTCATCGCCGAATCCTACCCTTTTGTGTTTTCTGACTCTTACGCAAGCGTGAACGTGGCTCTTTTTGATCTTTTTATAGTGGATGTTCTAAGGCCGGAGTACCACCCTGCTAACACTGTTGATTTTACAGATATGTCTGCTGTTTGGCTGAAAGTCGGGACGCAGGGTGCGTTCATTTCAAGCTCACACAGTGACTAAGGGCCGTAGTGTCAGAATTTCCACCCAGAGGCTGTCAGTCCAGCAAGCCTGGGCATATTTGTGATTATTGTCAGTTTTGTTTTACATTCCCCCCACACACACTCTCTATCCAGGCTAAATGCCTATAGCAGCAGTGCCTATAACCACCTACTTCTCGTGGAAGCTGAGGTTTGTGTAGTGCATTAATCCTTTCTGGACTAACTCCATCGGTACATCATTGCTTTTCTTCCCTTTTCTTTGTTGTTGTTGTTGTGTACCGTCAAGTCGGAACTGAACCAAAGCTGACCCTCCGGTGGGTTTTCAGAGGCAGTTAATGAGCAGCTGGTGGCTTCAAACTGCGTGCCTTCATGATGGCAGCACAGCTTCTTGCCACTAGGCCACCAGTGCAAGTTGGATCTTCACTGGCTACTTGTATTTTAAGACCCTAGTCATTCACATGTCAAATGTGAGAATGGTTACCCATGGTGGACAGTGTTTGGTGGAGCTCCCCAATTAAAACAAGCTTGGAAGCAGGAGTGGCATCCACTTCTGAAATAGCTTACCCTATGAACCTGGAGAAAGGACGAAAGTTATACAAGTGCCAGGTCTTTTGTTCATAGGGTTACTATGAGTCGCCTACCACTTGACAGCACTTAACAACTACAACACCAGCATAGAAAGAGGTCAGGTGGCCTAGCAGGCAGAAAGTGATTGCTACCAAGCCAAAGGTGGGTGACTCTAGTCCATGGTCCTCAGGCCTGTCTTTAATTGTTTTCGGTGAAACATTCTTCTAGGTTGTATAGCCCTGGCCTGTCCACTTGCTGTATAGAGAGGAATCTTTAAAAAAAAATTTTTTTTTACTTTATTATTTTTGTGTGAGTGTACCGTCAAATCAGATCTGACTGGTACAGGAGGAGATTGTCCCTCCTTCCCCGGCAGAGCATCTGGTGGATCTGAACCGTGTGCCTCTGGGATTGTAGTTGCAGCTCCTTGCCACTAGGCCACCAGAGCTCCCTTAGAGAGGAATCTTAACAACACTTAACAACAACAACAACACTCACTGTTCACTAAAGTAGATTGTAGGACATTGTCTTTATGGACCATATTGACCAATTAAATGCCCTTGATGTCTCTAGAAAATATAGTCCTGAGATTCTAGGTCCAGCAAGTGATACCCTCAGTGAAAAATAAAACAAAAACACCTCATTTTCCTAACAAAGAATAATCAGAATTGTCAGGAGCAGTTGTGTGATACAAGACACATTCCCATCTCAGAATGTTAGGGTCCAGGCCTTAGAATCTTGGAAGTGACAGAGCTTTAGGGATGTCCAGGTTGATCACACTTGTCTTCAAAACTCAAGCTCTCATTGACATCAAGTCAGAACCAAGTCCTAGCTGACCCTCCAGCAGGTGTCTAAAGCTGTAACTCTCACCAGAGGTAATTGCCACCTTTTTGTCTTCTGGAGCTGCAGATAAATTCAAACTGTCAAAGGGGTAGCCTTTGGGTTAGCAGAGAAATGTTCCTTTGTCCTGTAGAAGGGATACTGCATTGAAACAGATGAGGGAGAAAACTGTTTAAAAGGGATATTTGATTAGGTATTTTTGTCATGACAGGAGTCCAGAGCAAAGGCTGCATGGTGGAGTGGACCTGGAGGGAGGGATTGTAAAACAATGAAAGAATTATTCTTTTACTTTTCCAAGAGGGGAGTGTGCTAGAGGGGAGGGTTGGAAGGGGAGAAAAGTGCAACAATGAATGAATGGAAACACAAAGTCTGTAAATTTTCATTGAAATTAATAATAATTTTTTTTTAAAAAAAGAAAGGTGTCCTATCAGGAACTCTAGAAGTACACATACTATCAACCCTAGCAAATTGCGCCCAAGTTTCCAATTTTGTCCGATAAATTCATTGAGTTTAATAAACTCATTGACCCTTCATTGAGTTGGCAAGGCTGCAAGTCTTAATAGAAGCTTGCTGTCTTATCTGTCACCCCCTGAACGGCTGGTAGGCTCAAACCACCAGGCAGTTAGTTCCCAGTCAACATGTAAGGAGCTGTACCTCCAGGCCGCCTGTTCTGTAACACAGGGCTGTATTGTTAGAGTAGCTAGTGTACAGGGTGCAGCAATTAAGCACTCAGCTCCTAACTGACAGGGTGGAACATGCAGCCTCTCTGTGAAAGAAAGGTGGACAATCTGCCTCTTTTAAAAAAAAAATGAAGGGGGCTCTGGTGGCCTAGTGGCAAGAAGCTGCACTGCAATCCCAGAGGTGTGTGGTTCAAATCCACCAGATGCTCTGCTGGAGAAGGAGGGGCAATCTCCTCTTGTACCTGTCAGATGGAATTTGATGGTACACACACATACACACAAATAATAAGATAAAATTTTTTAAACATTTTTTTAGTTTATTTTATTTCATTATTTTTTTGTGTACCGTCAAATCTGTGTGGATCATAAAAAACTATGGCTGACTCTGAGAAGAATGGGAATCCCAGAACACTTGATCGTTCTAATGCGAAACCTATACTTGGACCAGGAGGCAGTTGTCAGAACAGAGCAAGGGAACACTGCATGGTTCAAAATTGGGAAGGGCGTACGCCAGGGATGCATCCTACCTCCATACCTTTTCAACCTATATGCAGAACAGATTATCCAGGAGGCTGGGCTCTATGAGGAGAAATGTGGGGTCAAGATTGGTGGACAGTTTATCAACAATCTGCGTTATGCAGATGACACAACCCTGCTTGCTGAAAATGAAGAGGACCTGAAGCACCTGCTGCAGAGGGTCAAGGACTGCAGCCTACAATATGGATTAAGGCTCAATGTCAAGAAGACAAAGATTCTCACTACTGGACCAATTGGCAGCATCAAGATGGATGGCGAAGAGATTGAGATTGTACACAGCTTTAGTTTGCTTGGCTCCACAGTCAACTGTCTTGGCACCAGCAGCCAGGAAATTAAAAGATGCATTGCCATGGGAAAGTCTGCTGTTAGGAACCTCTCCAAAGTACTGAAAAGCAATGGTGTCTCTCTGGAAACTAAGGTGCGTCTGATACAGGCCATGGTCTTCGCAATCACTTGTTATGCATCAGAGAGTTGGACAATGACCAAGGAGGATAGAAGGAGAATTGATGCCTTTGAGCTGTGGTGCTGGAGAAGAGTATTGAGAATACCATGGACTGCTAGGAAAACAAACAGATTTGTCCCGGAAAGGGTTAAACCGGGTGGCTCCTTGGAGGCAAGGATTCTGAGGCTCCTTCTAACATACTTTGGACATGTTGTGAGGAGAGAATGGTCCTTGGAGAGGGACATCATGCTTGGGAGGGTGGAGGGACAGCGCAGGAGGGGAAGGCCCTCTATAAGGTGGGTTGATTCAGTGACTGGGATAATCGGGATGGGAGTGTCAGAGACAGTGCGATTGGCACAGGACAGAGCAGAGTTTAGGGCTGTTGTACATAGGGTCGCTATGAGTTGAAAGCGACTCGACAGCACCATAACAACAACTCAGATCTGACTTGTACAGGAGGAGATTTTTCCTCCTTCTCCAGCAGAGCATCTGGTGGAATAAGATATATTTTTAAAAAAATTATTCATTTTAATTAAAGTTTACAGACAGTTTGGAATTCCATTCATTCATTGTTGCACTTTTCTCCCTGCCCCCCTCCCCAGTTCACTCCTCTTTGAAAATTAAAAGAAAAATTCTTTCATTGTTTTACAATCCCTCCCCTCAAGTCCACTCCACTATGCAGCCTTCATTCTGGACTCCCGTAATGACAATAATATGTAATTACATATCCCTTTTAAACAGTTTTCTCCCTCATCTGTTTCAATGTAGTATACATCATTTACTCTATCTTTCTCAGTCTCCCCCAAACCCCAATGTCAGTCCTGTTTTACAACATTGGCCCTAAATGCAGTATTTGTCCTTTTGTGACTGAGATATTTTACTCAGCATAATGTCTTCCAGGGTCACCTATTCGGTGTAATATTTCATGAATTTCTTGTTTTTCGATGCAGCGTAGTATTCCATTGTGTGAATATATCACAGCTTCTCTATCCATTCGTTTGTTGATGGGCACCTGGGTTGTTTCCAGCTCCTTGCTATTGTGAACAAAGCCGCAATAAACATGGGTGTGCACATATCTGCTTGGGTGGCAGTTATGGTTTCTTTGGGGTATATTCCCAGTAGTGGAATTGCTGGTCCAATGGTATCTCTATTTGCAACTTTTGGAGAAAGCGCCATACCGCCTTCCACAGTGGTTGCACCATTTTACACTCCCACCAACAGTGAATAAGGGTTCCAGTTTCTCCACAACCTCGCCAGCATTTGTTACTTGCTGTTCTGTTACATTTTGCTATTCTGACTGGGGTGAGATGATATCTCATAGTTGTTTTGATTTGCTTCTCTCTTAGAACTAGTGTTTGCCATCTGAATGTCTTCTGTGGTGAAATGTCTGTTCATATCTTGTGCCCATTTTCCAATTGTGTTGTTTATCTTGGTGTGGTGCTTGAGTATTTTATAAATTCTAGATATAAGTCCCTTATCTGACATGTCATTACCAAATATTTTTCCCCCCAGTCTGTGGCTGGCTTCCTTTTTTACCCTGTTGGAGAAGTTTTTGGATGTGCATAGGGATTTGATTCTGGGAGGTTCCATTCATCTATTTTATCCTCTTCGGGTTGTAGATGGCAATCTGCTCCTTAAGATCCTGTTGTTTTTAGATGCCACCAAGCCACCTCTTATTACTCATAGTGACCTCATGTATAACAGAAGTAACCCTGCCCATTCCTGTGCTGTGCTGACCATCTCGTCTGTGCCTAGGAAACCAGATGGGGCAGTTCCGCAGTGTCACAGAGTTGCCATGACGCCAAACAACAACAGCACATAAGGCACACAGGACCGGGCTATTGTTACTGCCCTATCCCTTGAGGCTTCAACATCTTTGAATCAACTTAATCTTTGCTATTTACAAATAAGGAAGGAAGTTGGGAGGCCCTTGAACCCTGGCAAACATCCAAAGAAATCCAGGGCCTCAGAAGGGCCCATTTCCAAAAAGGAAAAGACAGAGAGGGAAGGTGCCACGAGGCGGGGGTGGGGTGGGGGGGTGGCAGGCTCTGAGCTGTGGCCCTGAGACCTGGCACAGGATGGGGTGGAGGAGGCTCGGAAGACCAACTACTCGGGTCGGGCTCCTGAGTGTCCACCAGAGGGAGACAGGAGCCGCGACCAGCGGGGAGCGTGGGTGGCAGGAGCGCTCGGGCCAGCGTGGCCCCGGGCGCTGTGGGTGTGGCCCTGGGGGTGAGTCCAGGGCGCGGCGTAACGGGCCTGATGCTCGCAATGGGCGCTCACATGGTGGACACTGTGTGTGGCAGGATCCTGGTCCCCCACCCCCAGGAGCAGTCTCCGGGGTTAAAGCCACGTCCCCTGGATGTGTGAGCCCGCGGTGGCCTGTGGGCAGCTGCGATGGCACGTTGTGTTCCCCCTGCGCGCGCGCGCACAAGCGCACCCCTCCCTCCCCAGGGCTCGGTTCCCAGGGTCCTGCAACGCAAGGGGAGGGAGGGGTGTCCCGGGAGGGCCCCAGAGCAACTTTTTTCTTTGGAAAATATGTCGGTCTGGCCCCCAGCCCAGGCCTGAGTCACCAGGCTGGGTTGAGTCATGGCCTCCACCCCTGCGCCCCTCCTGGGAGCTCGAAGGGGACCCTCCACTTCTTGCTCAGGGCCTCCCTTCCCCACAGGGGCCTGACTCTCCAGCCCAGTCCTCCCCAAGACAGCGCGAGTCCACACGCAGCAAGAAGCCTTGGTTTTATTCGCTCCGTGGGGGCACAATTCATTCACAGACCCCTCCCAAGCATGGGGCGGGGGTCCACGGGGGTGAGGACGTGGGAGTCCCCGTGAGCAGCCTGGAGGGGACAGCACGTGCGTCATTTGCTTCTCTTCGCATCTTTCCACGGGGTCCTCGGCCAGGTTCAAGCACGAAGATGTGGCAAAGGCAGAACAAGGCGTGGGGAACTGAGAGCAGTCCCTGGGGGGGGGGCAGGCAGTAGCACCGAGAAACCTGGCCCCCTAAGACATTCCTGAAAGGGGGGACTGGCATACAGATGAGGGGCTTTCTAACTTGGGAAGGGTGCTGCTTAAACACTGAGAGGCTGTGTTCCAGGATCCTTAAATTCGGATCAGCAGCTGTGCAGAGCCTGAGGGCAGGGACAGGCCTCCCCTTATTCTCCAGCGACTGGCTGGCCACGTCAGTCCAGGGAAACGAGGACAGAGGATCTCTTTGGGGGTCTGTAGCAAAGGCTTAGTAGAGACAGGAGGGGCCAAACCTGGGACGTGGTCCTGGGCCCGGGGTGGGGCTCAAATGAGCACTTTAAGAGGTGAATCGTGTGGGAGGTGCGGGGGTGGGGTGGGGGGCGGTCCTTTTTCCCTAGTGGTCCCAGGGCCTGAGACTAAGTGTGGGCGTGTCCTCGCCCGGTTGGGCAGCCAGAAAGGGGTCGGGGAGCTTGCCTGTTAAGTCACTTCAACAGAGCAGCTGCTCATGGTAGGGACCAGCCAGAGGGTCTTCAGGGCCGAGCGACCCACGGGTGTGTGTGTGTGTGTGTGGGTGTGTGTGCACGTGCGTATGGCTGTGATGGTACCCTCTGCTGAGAGTGACAGCTCCACCTGGCAGGCATGTTAGTTTATTTTTGTTCTTTGATCCCTAGCACTTAACAACAGGGCCCAAAGCACAGAGTAGGTGCTCAATAAATACTTGGATGAAGGCAGAATAGATGTGTGTGTGTTTGTGTGTGTGTGTAAGTATAGAGATACAAAGGACAGGCGGGCGGGCAACGGGGTCTTGCCTCTCCCCGGGGCCCCACTAGAAGCTTTGACTCCGGGGTGTGGGAGTGGAGGATAAAGGGAGACCCCTTGGTCTTCACAACTGGGCAGGGTAGGCAGGGATGGGGCAGTGTGGGGCAGGGAAGAGGCAGGCGAGCGTGCAGCTTGACTGGAACTGGGGAGCCACAGCAGGGCTGGAGGGAGAGCAGCTCACTCGGCCGAGCCCTTCTGGCGCCTCTTGGAGGGCGGCACGAGGCGGCGGGGCAGGTTGGTGGGCAGCCCGTGGCCCTCGAGCTTGGCCTCGATGAGGTGGCTGGCCAGGGCGAACTCCTCGTCGTCCAGCATGCCGTCGCGGTCCACGTCGCTCAGCTTCCAGATGCGGCCCAGCACCGAGTTGGGCAACTTGGTGCCCACCATCCAGGTCTTGGCCTTGGAGCCGCTCAACTTGCCGTCGGCGGGCGCCAGGTTGTAAAAGATCTCGTCGTACTTGGACTTGTCCTTGGTCACCACCCACTCGGCCTCGTCGTCCGAGCCCTCCTCGCCGTCCTCCAGGGCCTCGTCGGGCCCGCGCTCCACGAAGGGGCCCATGTGCGTGCCCTCGAAGGCGCCGCCCTGCACGCCAGCCTCCGTGCTCTCCAGCTCCTCCTGGCGCAGCAGAGGCATGAGCTTGGCGATGTCGTGCGTCAGCATCTCGTCCAGCGCCTCCAGCAGCTTGGGCTTCAGCGAGTGGAACTTGGTGAAATCGTGCACCATCAGCAGATCCTGCCGGGGAGAGACAGGGGGCGCCGGGGAGTCAGGGTGGGGCGCCCTCCCCACAGCGCACCCGGGGAAACTTCCATGGTTGATATTTACTAAGCAGTGTAGAAATAGTTCAAAATCTGATGCACACCCATGCTTATTGCAGCTTTGTTCGCAATAGTAAAGAGCTGGAAACAATCCAAGTGCCCATCAACAAACCAATGGATAGAGAAGCTCTGGTATTTTCACACAATGGAATACTATGCAGCACTGAAAAACAAGGAACTCATGACAAATTATGCAAAATGGATGACCCTGGAGGACATTATGCTGAGTGAAATATCTCAGACATAAAAGGACAAATATTGCATAGGGCCACTGTTGTAAAACGGGACTGACATCAGGGTTGAGGGAAGACAGAAAAGGAGGGGAGGAATTATCATTGAAACAGATGAGGGGGAAAAAATAAAAATAAAAAAAAGAAACAGATGAGGGAGAGAACTGTTTAAAAGGGACATATGAATGGGTATTCTTGTCATTACCGAAGTCCAGAATGAAGGCTGCATAGTGAAGTGGACTTGAGGGGGAGGGATTGCATAACAACGAAAGATTTTTCTTTCTTTTTAAGGAGAAGAATGAATTGGGGGGAGGGAGTGGGTAGGGAGAAAAGTGCAACAATGAATCACTGGAAACTCTAAGTCTGTAAACTTTCATCAAAATTAATTTAAAAAAAAATAGTTCAAAATCTGGACCACCCCTCGACCCCAGTGCTGAACACTCAGAAAAGACTTGAGCATCAGATCAGGGTCCTGGAGATGCTTCTGTGGTGCCAGACTTGCCACAGAATTCCTGGATGGTTACTAAAAGGTTAGCAGTTCAAACTTGCTCAGCAGCCCAGGGAAGGCCTGGCCATCTAATCACACTTGAGTGGGGGGGAACCCAAAACAAAATAAAAAACCACCAAACTCACTGGTATCGAGGCCTTTCTGAGGCAAGCCAACTATATGGACAGGCCCCCTGGTGTTTCCGAGGCTGCAAAGCATTATTGAAGCTGACTGTCTCCTCAGGAGCAGTTGGTGGATTTGAACCACTGATCTTTAAGTTACCACCTGAGCATTTTAACCCACTGCACCATCAGGGCTCCACTCACTCCTTCATTCTCGACCACTGTGCTGATTCAGAATCATAGCTGACCCTCCATCAGCTTTCCAAAGGTGTAAATATTTTTAATTTATTTTATTTCATTATTTTTTGTGTGTACCATCAAATCAGATCTGACTGGTACAGGAGGAGATTGTTCCTCCTTCTCCAGCAGAACATCTGGTGGATTTGAACCGTGCACCTCTGAGACCGTAGTTGCAGCTTCTTGTCACTAGGCCACCAGAGCTCGCCAAAGGTGTAAATCTTTACAAGAGGGGAGACTGCTTATCTTTTTTCTTTGAAGTGCCTAGTGGATTTGAACCACCGACCTCTTGGTAGTGGTTTGTTGTATACCACTGTGTTAGAACCAACTCACAGCTAACCTTCCAGCGGGTTTCCAGAGCTAGTAAACTGCACAGGAAATTATCCATCCTTCTCCCATACAGCAGCTGGGGGATTCAAACTGTGTACCTTTGAGATTGCAGCACAACTTCTCACCCCGAGGGCACCAGAGTCCATTCTGGTTAGCAGCCTGATACATTACACACAACGCCACTGGCATTCCTTATTAAAAACTGAAAATACATGTAATAAAAAATGGATATGGCTTTGCACCAAGTATGAGAACATTATGCGTTCTCTCCTCACTGACCAACGATCTTGCTATAACTTTTCATGTCCGACAATTTCAAAATGATTGCTCATTAAGAGGAGCTCTGGTGGCCTAGTGGCAAAGAAGCTGCACTGCAATAGCAAAAGTGTGTGGTTCAAATCCACCAGATGCTCTGCTGAAGAAGGAGGGACAATCTTCTCCTGTGCCAGTCAGACCCAATTTGAGGGTACATGAAAAGAAAAAGAAATAAAAAATTAAATTTAAAAAAAAGCTTTCTAAAGTGTTTGTTTGTTTTCTCATTAAGGATGGATGTCTGGCAGTGCAGACCACTGAGGTCTGGGATGAGAGTAATGCACTAGCTATCATGATTATGATTCTAATGATTATGTGTCAGCTTGGCTGGATTATGATTGCGGTTGGCCTGGGCAATTATACAACGGTGCAATTTGGCAGTAATGATGGGGTGTTTTGTGATCAGATGTGATCATCTTCTAGTTTCACATAATGCTGGTTTTCTCTCAACAACCTTGTCTTCTTTGAAACCTACCATGCTGATCTCTCATTAGCACCAGTAGCCAGTAAATTAAAAGACATATTGCCATGAGAAAGTCTGCTGTTAGGGGACCTTTCCAGAGTACTGAAGAGCAATGGTGTCTCTCTGGAGACTAAGGTGTGTCTGATACAGGCCATGGTCTTTGCAATCACTTGTTATGCATCAGAGAGTTGGACAATGACCAAGGAGGATAGAAGGAGAATTGATGCCTTTGAGCTGTGGTGCTGGAGAAGAGTATTAAGGATACCATGGACTGCTAGGAAAACAAACAGATTCATCCTGGAAAGGGTTAAACCAGGCTGCTCCTTGGAGGCAAGGATTCTGAGGCTTCATCTAACATACTTTGGACATGTTGTAAGGAGGGACAGGTCTTTGGAGAAGGACATCATGCTTGGGAGGGTGGAGGGACAGTGCAGGAGGGGAAGGCCCTCTATGAGGTGGATTGATTCAGTGACTGGGGTAATCGGGGTGGGTGTGTCAGAGACAGTGCAATTGGCACAGGACAGAGCAGAGTTTAGGGATGTTGTACATAGGGTCGCTATGAGTCGCAAGTGGTTCGACGGCACATAACAACAACAACAACCATGCTGATAAGTGAGGAGCAGATCTTTATGGGAGGAAGTTGGCCTTCTTTCTCCTCCCAAGCAGCTGATGGATTCGAACCTCTGGCCTTTCGGTTGGCAGCCTAATTATGCTCTACTCCACCAGGGTATCAACTTAGAGGATGAATTCATGTGGCTAAAACCAACACCCCCCCCAAGCCCATCCATTCCCATTGGGTCGAGTCTGACTTGAGGCGCTCGCACGTATGACAGAGAAGCCCTTCCCTGTAGGCTTTCCTGGGCTGTACTCTTTCTAGTAGAAGACTTCCAGGTCTTCCTTCAAATATGCTGCTATGTTTGAGCCTTCAGAGCAATAAAACCAAAGCAAAATAAAACAGCAACCAAAAAGAACTTCACTGCCACTGAATTCAATTCTAACTCGCAGTGAGTGATCTCATGGGACAGACCAAAAAACCTGCCCCGTGGGGTTTCCTAAACTACACATCTTTCCAGACGCCAAATGGCTCATCGTTTTCCCTTGGAGCAGCCAGTGGATTCAAACCTCCAGCCTTTTGGCTAGCAGCTGCATGCTTTATCCACAACACTACAGGGCTCCTTGGAGTCAAGTACAAATTTTTTTTTCCTGACCCATATGTAGAGAGCAGATGTTGTTAAACGTTGTCAAGTTGGATCTGACTCTGAGCTGACGCCTCAGTGGGTTTTCAGCGACAGTAAATCACATGGAAAGAGACAGTCCTTTTTTTTTTTTTCTTGTGGAGCATCCGATGGATTTGAACCTCCTGCCTCTAGGAGGGCAGCACAATTCCTTACCCACTAGGCCACCAGAGCTCCACCCACTCAACTGGTAAACGAAAATATAAAAACTCAAACTGGAGCCGTCTGGATAAAGTACCAAATACATGTCCTCTCAATGTTGCTGTTAGATGCCTTCAAGTTGATTCCAACTCACCATGACCCCATGTGACGGATCAAAACTGCCCCGACAGTTTTCTAGGCTACAATGTTTCCAGTAGCAGACTGCCAAGTCTTTCTCTGCAGGAGCTGCTGGGTGGGTTAGAACTGGGAACCTCTCAGTTAACAGCAAAGTGCCTAATAGCTGCACCACCAGGGTACACTTGGCAACATCTGGAGACCATGTGACTGTCACAACTGGGATGGGGTGACTACTGGAATATAGGGGGTAGAGGCCAGGGGTGCTACTAAACATCCTACAGCCCCCACCACAAAGGTTCACACAGCCCCATGTCCCTGGTTCTGAGGTTTAAAACTCCTGCTGCAGCCAAATTATGTGTGCAGCACTCTCCAAACCCCATCACCAGGGCTGCTCTGACTCACAGCAATCGGCATGTTACACAGTAGAACTGATCCACAGGGTGCCTCAAGTGGAATCTACAGTAGATCACCAGCTCTTTCTTCCACAGTGGGGCTGGGTGGTGTTGAACCTCTCTAATCCTTTGGTCAACATCAGCATCAAGAAGACAAAGACTCTCACCACTGGGCCAATTGGCAGCACCATGATAGATGGAGAAGAGATTGAGGTTAACAATTACAGCTTGCTGGGTTCCACAATCAACACTCTTAACATTAGCAGTCAGAAAATCAAAAGATGAATTGCAGTGGGAAAATTTGCTGACAGGGACCTCTCCAGAATACTGAAAAGCAACCATGTCCATTTAGGGACTAAGGTGCACCTAATCCAGGTCATGGTCTTCACAATTACTTGTCATGTTTCAGAGAGCTGGACAATGACTAAGGATGACAGAAGAAAAATCAATGCCTTCAAGGTGTGGTGCTGGAAAAGAGTATTGAACATACCATGGACCACCAAGAAAACAAATAGGTCTGTCTTGGAGAGGATGAAACCAAGTTTCTCCTTGGAAACTAGGATTCTGAAGGTCTTTCTCACATACTTTGGGCACATGGCCAGGATAGATTGGTCCTTGGAGAAGGACACCATGTTTGGAAAGGTGGAGGGACGGTGCAGGAGAAGAAGACTCCGGATGAGAAAGATTGATAGTAGTAACTGGGGCAATGGTGTTGGTGTGTCGGAATTAGTGAGACTGGCTCAGGACAAGGCAAGGATCAGAGTGGCTGTACCTAGGGTCATTATAAGTTGCAGGTGACTCAAGGGCACATAACACCAACTCCTTTGGTTAGTACCCGCTGCCATATACAAATGATTGACGTTGTCACCAATTTCATTTTACCTGGATCCACAACCAACACCCGTGGTAGCAGCAGTCAAGAAATCAAAAGATGTGCTGTATTGCACAAATCTGCAGTCATGGACCTCTTCAAAGTGATAAAGAGCAAGGATATTACTCTAATAACTAAGGTGCACCTGACCCAAACCACGGTATTTTCAGTTCCTTCATATACATGTGAGAGTTAAGACAATGGATTAGGAAGACCAAAGAAGTACTGGTGCTTTTAAACTGGTGAAGAATACTGTATAGACCATGAACTAGAATAGAGCAAACAAATGTGTCTTGAAAGAAGTCAAGCCAGAGGGCTCCTTAGAGGCAAGGCTGCTGAGACTTCAGCTCACAAGCTTTGGGTACATCGTCAGCAGGGGCTAAGCCTTGAAAAAAGGACATCAAGCTTGGAAAGGTGGAGGGTCAATGAAAAAAGAGAGGAAGACGTGACAATGAGATAGACCGACACAGTGACTACAATCATGGGCTTTAAACAGCAGAAACTGGAGGACCAGGCGGGGTTTCAAGCAGCTGCACGGGGAGTCACTATGAGTGAGGGTTGATGTCATGGCATCTAACAACTGTTGAGTCACATATGACTCACAGCCACCCTTTACTGGGCTCTGAGGCTGTAAATATTTCCAGAAGATTACTACTCATGTTTCTTCTTTGGTTCGGGTGGTGAATTCGAACTGCCAACCTTTCCATTAGCAGGACAACATACTATCCATTATATCACCAGAGCACAGAGGTGAGGATGCCATCTAGGTGCATCTGAAGGGGTTACAAATACGATCTGCTTCAATCTCCATGCAATGGGTACAGGCATACCCAGGAAATATATTGCAGGTTCAGTTTCAGACTACTACAAAAAAGTATCACAATAAAGTGAGTCACATGTTTGTTTGTTTTTAATTCACCAACTCTGGTGGCCTAGTAGGTAAGGAGTTGCACTGCATTTCAAAGGCAGGTGGTTCAAATCCACTAGCTGCTTCTTTGGAAGAAAGATGGACAGTCTCTCCTGAGCAATTTACTGCGTGGGTCTGAAACCAGCTGGAGGCTCAGGTGTGAGTTAGTTCTGACCCAACGGCATTTAACAACAACATAAAAGTTTTGTTTACATGCTACTAAAGTCTACTTTAAAGAGTGTTGGTGGTGGTGTTTATAATGTGCTGCACTGCTAAGTAAAAGGTTGGTGGTTCGAATCCACCCGATATTCTGCAGGAGACAGATGGGTAAGCTCCGCCCATCAAGATTTACAAAGATTCCAAAAAGTGTGAGGAACCTGATGGAGGGTCGCAGTGGGCTAGAATCAACCCCAACAAGAGCAGGTCTGGGGCTGGGAAGTCTATTAAAGGAACACCATGTGGCACAGCACTTTAAGGGCTAAGAAACTAAGTGAAAAATTGGTAGCTTCAAACTGGTTGTCTTTGGACTGGAAGCGCAAACTCCCTACCTGCTGCTGTTGTTTTTATGAGTCAGTTGTCAGGAGTGACTCACAGCTAACCCCAGGCGGGTATTCAGAGGCTGGGATTTCTCATCCTTCTCCTCCTCCTGCTGTTAAGATCAACGGCCTTAGGAACATGATGGAGGGGGCCTGTGAGTCAGAACAGACTGTGGCAGTGGGTTTGGCAGACTACTGAGTCTGTAGCAGAGTGATGGAAAAGTCTGGAATATTGTGAGCATGACACAGAGGTGCAACGTGAGAAAAGGCACCAACAGGCTTGCTCCATGAGGCTGCCACACACTAATTTGCAAAACCAAACCAACCCAGAACATCTCATCTGTAAAGGACAATGGAGAAAAAGTGAGATGAGTTACCTACTCAGTAACTCACTAGTGACTTAGTTACTCCCTGGTGCTTCAGGTACGAGGTTCAAATCCACCAACTGCTCCACTGGAGAAAAATGGGCTTTCTCCTCCTGAGCCATCTACTGCCTCTGAAAACCCGTGGGAGTGTCAGCTATGGGTTGGTTCTGACTCGATGGTAGACAACAACAACAATCTCATCGCTCAGTTCTCAGACTCTGAATTCACATGTCAGGGACCTCTCCAAAGCGCTTAAGAGCAATGAGGTCACTCTAGAGACTAAGATGCGTCCGATTCAAGCCGTGGTCTTCACAATTACTTGCTGTGCCTCAGAACTGGACAGTGACTACGGATGACAGAAAAATAATTAATACCTTGGAATGATGGTGCTGGAGAAGAGACTTGGACATACCATGGAAAGCTAGGAGGAGAACAAAAGGTCTGTCTTAGGGTGAAACCAAGTTTCTTCTTGGAGGCAAGGATTTTGAAGCTCTGTCTTTCATACTTTAGGCACATGGCCAGGAGAGACTAGTCTCTGGAGGAGGAAATCATGGGGTAGAGAGACAGTACAGGAGAGGAAGAGTGTGGATGAGATGGATTGACTTGGTAAATGGGGCAATGGGCTTAGGTGAGTTGGAGTCAGTGAGATGGGCTCAGGACAGGGCAGGATTCAGAGCTATTGTCACATAGGGTCCCTATGAGTCACAGGAAACTCTATGGCACATAACAGTCTTGGTAGAAGTCAATGTAAAGACAGAGTCCCTGATCCTGGGCTTGATCCTGGCCTCTGTGCCTCAACCTGGCCAGACATCCCACTCTATACCTCCCAATACTTCACTGTCCACTCATCCCTGCTTCCTCAGTACTGGAATCCCCAAAAGGGGACCAAGGCAGTGGGTCGACTAGGCAAAAAAGACTCCATTTCCCAGCATTCCTTGCAGCTCGTCATAACCATGTGACTAAGTGCTGACCAATCAGATGCAAGCAAAAGTTGCTAGCGCAACTCACAGAATGAGCCTGTTCAACGCACTGGTCCCATTTGGTTCTTTTCATCTCAATTAACTAAACCTAACTGAGGGAGTGTCCGAGATGAGGAAGCCATGAGGGAGTGTCCGAGATGAGGAAGCCACGGGATAGGACAGGGTTCAGATCTGTTGTTCGGAGTTGTACTAGCAACAACAAAGAGAGCGCCAAAGGCTTTAGTGGACTATCAACTGAAAGGCACGCTGTTCGAATCCACCAGCTGCTCCACAGGAGAAAGATGGGCAATCTCCTTCCATGCAATTTAAAGCCTCTGAAAATCCACTGAAGGGATAGCTCTGCGGACGTCCAGACTGGAAGGCACATACAACAAAACAATTTAATACTTAAATTTTAGTCCTAGCATTATACCAGCCCCATATGAAGGGCTAACTAGTCACATGTGAAAAGAGCCTTGGTGGGGCGGTGGTCTCAACAGTGAGAAGAGCCAGGAGCAGAGCATGTCTTTTGGATCTAGGGTCCCTATGCTTAGGAGCTCCTAGACCCAGGGGTAGATGATTTCCAAGGAATACCAGGTCCACCGATGCTGAAAGAAGACAAAGGCAGGGATAGAAAGCCTTTCCTTGGAGTTGGCAATCTAAATTTTGGTGGTAAGATTTCTACAATATGAAAAAAACAAGAAATGTATTTGTTAAGGCACCTACCTGTGATACTTCCGTTACAGCAGCATTAAAGAACTATGACATAGTGACTAAGATAGTCACTATGCCTCCACTTGAAGGCACTGAGTCTGGATGTTTTGGTTTTTCTTCATTCCCATATCCTAATTCTTAAAGACAATCCCATGGAACAGATAGAGCTTTCCAGAATCTCCCACCCAGCCTGTCAGCTCTGAGGAGGCCCCAGCCTGGAGCAGAGAGGAGCCCAGGACCCCCCATCCTGCCTGCTGTTCCCTGATGGGCGGGCTCTCACCTGCATCTTCTGGCAGTCAGGGAAGTCGCCTGGAGATATATGATGCTCCAGCTGGATCTTTGCAAAGATGACGGGCAACTTGAGGATGAGCTGCTTCTTCTTGTTCTCCTTCCCAAACACGGAGGGCATCTCCTTCTTCAGATAGCTGATGATGTATGCGTGAACCTAGGGGTGGGGACAGGAAGCAGAGTGGATCTCGCTTAAGCCTGCCTCGGAGACTCTTGAAGGGTTAGTTAAAACACAGTTTGCCCTGAGGTATCCCTCAATAGGTAAAAAGATAAACCATGGTGCGTCCATTAAAAAAAAAAAAAACAACCAAAAGAACCCTTTTTTTTTCCTCATAGAGACTGGTGGAACCTTCAAGACTATGGCACTTGGCCACACTTTGAGCTTCATCCCTGTAGCTCAACTTTCAGTTAAACAACAGACAGATCTATGAGGTGAATAATAACACCAGGGAGGTCCTCAGCACGTGGAACATTCAACCACACACCATCACTAAAACAGAACTTGTCCAGGGATGAAGCTCTGAAGGTAGAAACAGGGAGGATGGAGGGATGAATGGAAACAAGAATCACAGAGAGAGTGGGAAGAGTGATTGTCATTGATGTCATAAAACTAAGTTAAGTATATATGGGGGAGCTCTGGTGGCCTAGTGGCAAGGAGCTGCAACTACAATCCCAGAGGCGCACGATTCAAATCCACCAGATGCACTGCCGGGGAAGGAGGGACAATCTCCTCCTGTACCAGTCAGATCTGATTTGACAGTACACGCACAAACACAAATAATAAAATAAAAAAAACAACAACACTAAGTTAAGTATATATGAAGAAATGCTCCAAGTCACTGGCAATAAGAGACATGCAAATCAAAACCACAATGAAGTACCATCTCACTCCTGTAAGAGTGGCAAAGTTTAACAGGGCAGCAAGTATTAGATGCCGGAGAAGATGTGGCAAGAAAGAAACTCTTACACATTGTTGGTGGGATTGTAAAATGGTGCAACCATCCTAGAAGGCAGTTTGGCGCTTCCTCAAAAAGCTTAACATAGAAATTCCATATGACCCAACTATCCCACTAATTGGAATATACCCTGAGAATATGAGAACTGAGGCACAAACAGAGATTTGTACATCAGTGTTCATAGTAGCATTATTCACCATCGCAAGACAATGGAAACAGCCCAAATGTCCAACCATAAACAAACAGATTGAGAAATATAGTACATTCACATAATGGAATACTATGCAGCACACAGGAGCAACAACTTTGTAAATTATTACCTAACTTTGCAGGGACTGGAGAGCATTATGCTGAGTGAACTAACTCAGTGACGTAAGGATAAATATTGTATAAAATCATTATTGTAGAAGGAGTATAAGGATCCAGGAGGGGTGGGAAAGGCTGGCAGCAGAGGGATGTAGATGTGCAGGGGGAAGAGGGGATTAATTATTGGGTTGTACAATTTGATGGGCAGGGGGGCAAGAGAAATGGAAAGAATTTGTTCAAATTTGTATTTGAATTGTGTAAATAAAGTAGTAGAAAAAAATTTTTTAAAAAAAACCTAAAACCAAAAACCCAAGTTAAGAATATATGAATGGTTGAATGGAATACCAATCTACTCTGTAAGCTTTCATTCAAACGTGTTAAAAATTATGTGTCAAATAATAATGAGTTAAAAAAAAAAAGAAATCCCCACACTGTTGCCTGGGGGTCACTTCCAACTCTGGTGCTCCACATTCCAGAGGAGAATTGGTCCAGAGGTGTTTTTTCCCTTTGGCTGCCATCTTGGCAAATGGAGCCCTGATGGCACAGCGGTTAAGTCTCTCGGCTGATAACCAAAACGTTCGCAGTTTAAACCCACCAGCTGCTACTCAGGGGAATACTGTCGTCGTTTGCTCCTGTAAAGAAACGCAGCCTTGAAACTCCTTAAGGAGCAGTTCTATCTCATCCCACAAAAGCGTTATGAGTTGGAAACAGCTTGAAAGCATTGAGTATTTGGTAATTCTTGATGAAAGCCAGACCTTACCCTGCCCCCACAACCCCCACAAGGAGCCTACTAGGTTTGAACTGCTAACCTTTCTGTTAGTACCCTAGTAACCCAGCAGCATTTAAAAATGACACCAGCATTTAAAGATGGCTCCTTGTCATAAAGATAAAAGAAAAAAATAAAATAGGCAAAACTAATCCGTTCCAATTGAGGGCATAATCGCATAATCTTGCATCAGGTTTAATGTTCTTTCTTTAAAAAATTTTTTTTCTCCTATTTTTGTGTGTGTACCATCGAATCAGATCTGGCTGGTACAGGTGGAGATTGTCCCTCCTTCTCCATCAGGGCATCTGGTGGATTTGCCTCCATCAGGTTTAAAAGAAGAAAACCATCCATCTTTGTCTTGTTGAGTGGCTGGTAAGTTCGAACTCTCAACATTCTGGTTAGCAGCCCAGCACTTAACCTACTATGCCACGGGGGAAAATTCAGGTGAGGCAGTTCTAGTCTGTAACATATGGAGCTGACAGCCACTCAAGTGGTGCTCATAGGCCGCACTTGGAGAGCCCTTGTCTCCCTGGGATTCAGGCTCAGCCTCTGCTCTGCTCTCAGCCCCTCCCTGCCTTTAAGGAGCCCACTAAGCTGACCACTCCCCATCTGACATACCAGCCCAGGCTTGTCCCTGGAGTGCCAGGCTCACAGTTAATTGGCCACATTCCTAGACATCTCCAGTGTGTGCGCCCTACTGGGAATTTTGGCCCAGCCCCCAGATCTGTGTCATGTTTAACCGGTTATTGTGGAGTTGATTCTGATGCCTGGCAACTCGTGAGCATAAGAGAACTAACTGTACCTTTTTTTAAATTTTTTAAATTATTTTTTGTGTATGTACCATCAAATCAGATCTGACTGGTACAGGAGATTGTTCCTCCTTTTCCAGCACAGTCTCAGGTGGATTTGAACCACGCACTTCTGGGATTGCAGTACAGCTTCTTGGCACGAGGCCACCAGAGCTCGCCACAGAACTGTTATTTCAAATGGGGTTTTCAAAGGTTATGATCCTTCAGCAGGTTTCCCTGAGTGACACAGCGTTTGCTGACTATCAACATAAGGGCTGGTGGTTCGAACCCATCCAGAGGCACTGCAGAAGGAAGAAATGGCAATGTGTTTCCAGATTTCAACAAGCCAATCAAAACCACCTCATCCTGTTCCCATCAAATTCAATGCTGACTCACGATGCTATCAAAGGCTGCACAGTAAAATCACTCAGTGGATTCTCTCAGCTGGAATCTTTATGGGGAGCCTTGGTGACACTGTGGTTAAAGTGCTGGGCTGCTAACCTAACAGTCAGTGGTTACAACCCCACCAGCCACTGCTGTCTGCTTCCATAAATACTTACAGCCTCTGAAACCCTATGAGGCAGTGCCACTCAGTCAGTAAGGTCCCTAGGAGCACAGAGAGACTCAAGGGCAGAGCGTCAGCCTCCGCAGATAAAGATTACGAGGCTTTGCTTCTCAGCTGCTTTTGGCTGGTTTGAATTGTCAACCTTTTGATTAACAACCCAATGCTTAAACTATCTGTTCCATTTGTTGTTGTTATGTGCTATCGAGTCACCTGCGACTCATAGCGACCCTATGTACAACAGCCCTAAACGGTGCTCTATCCTGTGTCAATCTCACTGTCTCTGACATACCCATCCCGATTACCCCAGTCACTGAATCAATCCACCTCACAGAGGGTCTTCCCCTCCTGCGCTGTCCCTCCATCCTCCCAAGCATGCTGTGCCTCTCCAAGGACTGGTCCCACCTTGCAACACGTCCAGAGTATGTCAGACAGAGCTTCAGAATCCTTGCCTCCAAGGAGCAGCCTGGTTTAACCCTCTCTAGGATGAATCTGTTTGTTTTCTTAGCAGTCCATAGTATATTCAATACTCTTCTCCAGCACCACAGCTCAAAGGCATCAGTTCTCCATCTATATCATCCCTAGTCATTCTTGTCCCACTTAGATTAATAATAATTTCCTCCACCAAAAAAAATTTTAAAAGCCCATCACACATGTTGCCATTGATTAAATTGTGACTAATAACAATCACATATTTTATAGAGTCATACTGTTTCACTGGGTTCCTGAGGCTGTAATCTTTACAGAAGGAACACCACTGGTGGCATAGTGCATAGTGGGTTACACTGCTAACCAAAGGTCAGTGGTTCAAATCCAGGTGCTCCAGGATAGAAAGAGGGTATTTCCTCCCATTAAGATTTACATCCTCGCAATCCCAGAGGCACACGGTTCGAATCCACCAGATGCTCTGCCGGGGAAGGAGGGACAGTCTCCTCCTGTACCAGTCAGATCTGATTTGACGGTACACACACACCAAAATAAAAATAATAAAAAAGATTTACAGCCTCACAAACCTGATGGTGGGTTGCTATGAGCCAGAATCATCTCAAGGGAAATGGATCTGGGTTTATATTTTATTATAGTCTTTACAGACTGCAGGGTTTTTCTCCTGAAGTGTTTGAACCACTAGTGTGTTTGAACCACTGACCTTGAAGTTAGCAGCTGTGTGCTGACAGCAGTGCCACCTGGGTTCCTTCTTAATAAAGAAACTAAGATGTTACCTGCTTTTTTTAAAAAAAATTATTATTATTTTGTGTGTGTGTGTACCATCAAATCGGATCTGACTGGTACAGGAGATTGCCCCTCCTTCTCCAGCAGAGCATCTGGTGGATTTGAACCACATACCTCTAGAATTGCAGTGCAGCTTCTTGACACTAGGCCACCAGAGCTCCCTTGTTACCTGCTTTTTTTAACTGTAATTTTCACTGGAACAGACAGTGGGGTCTGGAAGAGCAGACAAGATGTGACAGCCCAACTGACAGAACATGAGAGCCTGAGAATTTGCTGCCTTCTCTGTTCAAGAGCTTTGCCAAAATGCAGATCATCTGCTGGAATGCTGGTCATTATTATGAAAAGGATTGCACAAAAAGTTAAGTTTTGCATTGCTAATCTAAAGGTTGGCAGTTCAAACCCACCCAGAAGAACCTTGGAAAAAAGGCCTGGTAATCTGCTTCCTATATTTTGGCAAATCTTTCACACCTTCTCATTATTTTTCTTTTTTTTTTAAGGGTGGGGAAGATATGTGATTGGAAAAGTTTTCATTTTCTTAAAGCATACATT